TAAACCGAGCATCCACACACAAGGATTCAAAGGAAATACATGTCATTTATTCATGTGTGCATTGACAATTCTGGAACTCCTGTTGTAATGTGTCCTTAATGCTATGTGGGCAGAAAAGGTGGAATCAGCAGCGAAGGCACAGTGCATTACTCAACAATGTACTGCATACACACTTGACTTATCTAGAGGTCAGGGAAGGCATGCATTTAGGCACATTTTATGGACAAAGATAAGGAACATTTTTAAGACAAAGAAGCTTAATAAAAGTATTAAATATGGTTCAATTTCAAAATCTCTACAATTAGGTCATTTAAACAAGCAAGAGTCATAACATCTAAACAAGAGGCGCTCATGTTGATAACTTCCTCATGTTCATCACATCAACCAGACCAATAAAAAAGCCACTATAAAATGTCAGTAACAGAAGCCAGAAATAAACTCCATTGTTTGCTCTTGTGACAATCATTTACATGCATTTATGAAACATAATTGGCTGTTAAATGGTTACACCTAGCACTGACCAGGAGCAATGATTAAGTCATACAGCCATCATGTGCAGAAGTGAAACTCATAAACTCAGATGTCATGGATCCACTTTGTTGGGCAACTGAGGGCAATTTTGCGATGGCAAATTTGGAAATGGCTGAAAACTGCCTGAATGCACCATATGTATCCAACTCAACACACTTCAACTAACTAAGATCATGTCCTGTGCTGCTGATATACTGCAGAGTCAAGGTTGATCATTTAGTTTGGCTGGTTTAGGATAAAGTGTGTGTGTGTGTGTGTGTGTGTGTGTGTGTGCACTGACCATTGAATCTTCATCAGCGATAAAGACAGTACAGGCCTGGGCTTGCATGAAGGACAGGATAGTTCCTGCGATTTTCCTCAGTAAAACCTCCAGACACTGCTGCTCCTCAAAGATCAGACTGGCCAGGTCCAACAGCACCTGTGCATAAACACGTACACACACATGTATAGATACACATAAGCAACACATCCATTATCTACACTGCTTATCCTGAAGAGGGCGTCAGCCAATCCCAGCTGACACTGGACAAGAGGCGGGGTACAGTTGAAATTTACAACCCGGTACTTTGAAGTGGCAAAAAGAGTAAAGCAAAGAATATTTTCTCATCAACATAATATTTAATGCACATTCAGCTACAAATGTTTCTTCATCAGCAGAAGTAAAAAACAAATGGTTAGAAAGTGTATAAAAAGAAAGTTATAGTAAAATAATGAAAATCATATCAGAGCAAAAGTTGGCATCGCCCTTTATGAAATGTTCTCTTATACTTTGTGCATCCTCCCTAACCTCCTCCAACCTCTTTGGGAACCCTCAGAGCACCGTTTGTATCCTTTCACGTGTAATTTTAGCTCATTCATCATGGCATACTTGTTCCAAGTCTACCAGATTGCTTGGTTGTCTGTATGTCTGTACAGTCCTCATCAAATCAATCCACAGGTTTTCATTGATACTGTAACTGAAAGAGGTGCTGGGAAACTTGCTTGAGAGCTATGAAGAATCCAAAGCAAACAGCAGGGGACCTGACAAAGTCCTTAGGGGCAAATGGAATACAAGTTCATATCTCCACAGTGAAGCACAAGTCTGGATTGTTTGGGAGAAAAGCATGCAGGAAGCCATTGCTTACTTTGAGACGTAAAACAGCATGCTTGGAATTTGCTAAGGAGCAGGATTATGTGGTTTGATGAGATCAAAGCTGAAGTATTTTTTCATAATTCACACAGGTCTGTGTGGTGACAAAAACACTGCATATGAGGAATTCCCACAGTCAAATATGGTGAAGGCTCACTGATGTTTTGGGGGTGTATGGCTGCAATGGGCACTGGAGCTCTGCATCAAGTGGAAGGAAGAATGAGTGCAGCCCAATATCTGAAGATTTTAAAGCAAATCCCCCTAAGATTAGCCAAAAAGCTAAAAATGAAGAGGCAGTAGATCACTCAACAAGACAATGAGCCAAAGCACAGAGCAAAGTCAACTCAGGAATGGTTTAAAAAGAATAAGGTGAATGTTTTACCATGGCCTTCCCAGTCTCCAGAATTAAATATCATTGAAAACCTGTGGCTCGATTTGAAGAGGACTGTACATAGCAGACAACCAAACAAACATACAACGTATTAGAGAACATTTCATCAAGAGGGATGCACACTTTGGCATATAATATAATTATCATATGCCAAATATGATTTTAATTATAAGTAAGGGGATTTAAACTTTTGCACCCAAGTGTACATACACATACACTACCTGGTTGCGTCTGTTTTCCAGCTGTGATGTCTCGTACAGCTGAGCATTGTGCAAGACGATGCCTGAAAAGGCCAAATAGGCTGAGAAGTCCTGTGGGAGAGGAACAGAACAACATCTGAGCACCATGTAGGAAGAACAGAAAGGAAAGAAAGACAAGAAATAAAACTGGGCTGATGCATGGAATAAAACATAAATCAGCAAAGAAAAAAGCAGACAGAGAAAGGAAGTCAGGTCAGAGAGATGACAGATCACACGAGGAAGGACAAAAAAGATGGAGAAAGATGGACTGAGGTAAAGGAAGATTTATATATGGGTCAGGACAGCTACGGTTATTCTTCTACAGCCAGTATGTCTGTCCAGCACTTTGATCAAGAGCAACATACTCTACTACATCCTGCCAATGGCCGTTTTCTATGTTTCTGAATGCTTAAACATTGACAAAGCATGAGTCTTGTAAGTGAAACAGTGAGCTTGACTAACCTTTTCATCCTGTTCAGTGAAGGTACCATCCTCTCCGCATTTCTTATTGATAGCCTGAGCCACCCCCACTACCTGAAATGGATATGAGAAACACAGCAGAATGGATAAAAAGGAGGATTCATCATCAGTAAGGTGAATGTGGGTCTTAAGTTGGGTCTTAAGTTGGGTAACATTGTACCTTAATCTGCTGATGAAGGAACACTTGTACTAGCTGAATGTACATTAAATATTATGTCGATTAGAAAAAAAAAAATGTCTTTGTTATACTCTTTTGCTATTTCAACGTAAGAGGATGCAAACTTTTGCACCCAACTGTATATTTATGTTTATTAACTTGCAGTCTTATTCTTGCATGGCTATACTGCCATGGCCATTGCTGCCCTTGCATTTGGCCAAGAAGCCCTCTATAGTTGTTGGAGTTATACATCTGATAAGTGCCCTCATCAGATGTGCTTTTAATTCTGTCAGATCTTCTCAAGTCCATCAGCTCTGATGAGTGATCTCAGTAAAAGATTGCCAAGTCATTCATTTGTTATGATCAGTCACTCACATTGTGTTTATGGATGTATTAAGGAGAACGATGCGCTTACTGAAGCCGTTTGCTTGGGAGCGCTCCTCATAAAACCTCAGTGGTAGCTACATGTAATTTGACATAATATGTTGTAGAAAGTAATGTTATTCACTCTTTACTACTGCTTGGTAACAATGTTTTTATGAACTGTTGGTGAACATACATTCACTACATCTATGTGTTATTTTTAGCTCAGAGTGCCTATCAATCATTCTAATGGTGCTCCACATCTCTACATTTTTGTCCTCCCCAGCTACATAAATGAGAGGGTCAGAATACAAGGAACATCTGTGAATATAATGTAGTCCAGTACAACACCACCTTTAATTATGACCTCAATAATAATCATATAATTGAATTTATACATTTATGATAATTTCACCAAAAACTGAAACATTTTGAGCTTCATAAATACAAATGTTAAGGAAAACGTGTTGCATTTAAATGCATGATGTATTTAATAAAGTAGCCAGTGAGTGTATGCCATGTCATTTGTCTATCGGCTTTACTACCCAGTCAAGTGGCCTTTGTTAATCCTGAAAGTGTATGAAATTAAAGGCCAAATGGCCTTGCCTCTTAAATTATTAAAGCTATGCCCTGGTTACCACCAAATGTAGATCAGTGGAATAGTTTGAGGCCACTGACAGGACTGTGTCCATTGACATGCTTTTGCATATGTTCACAAGACAAACTAAATGGTGAGCCAGTCAAAAATACTGATCCAAAGCACTAGAGTATTAAAAGGTCAAAAACTCCACAGGGTACTTTAAAGTTGTACCAGGTTACTTTGACTGACATCAAAAATGGGAGATCTAGAGCATGACTATCATCAGTCTGTTGAAAAAATTCTAACAATTCCCTCTTTATATCTTATTTGCCTGGTTTACAAAATACTGAAGATTCAAACTCTCATTCAATACTTTGCATGATCTATTCTAGTTCAGCTTGCCCTGAAGATGCTAGTAATGGCTGCCACCTGAAGTAGATATAGACTAGAAAAAAAGAAAGACAGTCATTTTCAGCTTTTCCCGTTTAGGGGTCACCACAGCGAATCGTCACACTGGTGACTTGCATGTTGACATTTGGCACGTGTTTTACGCCGGATGCCCTTCCTGACAAAACCCTGATTCGAACCCGGGCCGCAGCAGCGAGAACGCTGCGCCTTAACCACTAGCCTACCAGGAACGGCTCCTTGAAGTAGATATGGACTAAAACTAAAAGTAATAAACTATTTAAGCAAGTAATTTACATTTGGTCAAACTAGCCACAAACTATTAAAAAACTAAAATTGGAATAGGGAATGTAGCAGTGTTCCAAGTTTGGTCCAAAAGGAAGTGTGTATGTTTGAGTTCAGAGTACTTATTAAGGACCCATAAGTTTATCAGAAACCCTACTGTCTGAAGAACACATAATGTGGTGGAAAATTTTAGAAAAAGCTAGTAAGTGAACCTTGAGTTCACCTACTAGTGAACTTACCAGTGAACTGCTAGCTAACTACAAATTAGCCTTCCTTTGCGATCTGAAGTAAAATTATGTTTTAACTCAAAGTTGGGAACTCTTTTCCAAAATGAGAGTTAAACTGTTATCCTTGTATAACTACAAGGCTAAGCAGTGAAACCTTTGCTCTATGTGGTATGTAATGCTGTGTGTGGTGTCTCACTTCGTCTTTGTGGTTCTTGATGGGCAGACAGAGGATACTCTGGGTTTTGTATCCTGTGATCTGGTCAACCTCAGCGTTGAACCGGGGGTCCTGTGGAGGTAAAGAACATTTACACAGTTCAGTCCCATCTCTTTAAGAATGACTTCTGTTGATAGCAGCATTGCCCCAAATACTTGGACTATTAAGAGCTTTTAATAATCATATTTGATATGGTCGGTGTAATTGTTGCATTCCTACTGAAACACTAAATACCTTATTAGGAAAGATCAAACTTTTGAACAGCTTCTGTCCAGACCTCATCCATATTCAGATCCTCATAAATCCTAACAACCACTTACTCTCATGACAACTGCAGGTCCAATTTGCATAAAGAAACTGATATTCTGTAGTAGCACGAATGCAGCTGTCAGCATTATGCAACACAGAATTCCACTCAAGGAAGCAAACCTCTTCTTAGGTGTGTAAATACTGAGTTTAAGAAGCTTCTGAAGGCATGTTAAGGACTGATGGCTGTTTTGTTTAGAAGACTGTTCTCCTGTTGGTAACCCTCCCACCCACTGGCTGACCTTTAAACACTCTCTGTCCACTACCATTATCCTCTAGACTCAAGGGGACTGTGTTTGTGTATGTGTATAAAACCATGATTAGAAGAGGAACACTACACCAACTGAAACATTTCTGGTTTGGTGTGGTAGGATAAAATGGCGCTTTATATTTTCACTGCAGGCTCCTAAGAGCTCTGTACTGTACTGTATACAGCATTGGCTTTTATTTACCTAAAAAGAGAAATACTTCTATTAGAAACAAACCCTTACTGCCAATTTCCCCTGCTGTACACAGGATTTCATCATAATATTGGTGCTTTTATTTGTTTGCTGTTTATTTAAACTCAACACTTCATAGTGTAGCAATCCCCAGGTGCTGTATTGAAAAAATACATCTCTGTGACCAAAAGAGTAAAGTCACAGATATCACTGCTTGTGCATTGTGGCTCCCATGTCCCCTGCATTCCTTGAGAGCACTGGCTGTGCAAAGTCCCAAAAATTAACACTGCGAGATTCAATTCAGCACACGACCAGTGGTGGTAGGTAAGTCAGCTGCTGTTGTGCATTACTGCAATGACAGAAGAAAGTTGCAAAGTGAAACTCACTTTACACATTTGCATACTATCAACTGCTGATATTTTCTCTGCTGTGATTTCAATTTGTCATAGATTCCGTTTAAAAGTGGAAGTTGGAAGGAATATATACATATATATATACACACACACTTAGTGGATATACTTTTTATCCTCCAAATAAACATAAAATATGCAAGAATGTGAACAATGACGCCAATGTAGCAACCATTATCGACACATAACCAGTATGTCGGCAGCCTAACAACTGATTGCTTATTGAGTCCCCCCTCCCTTACTTATTGTTGCCTCACCAGTCATACCGTCAGTTTACAAAGTTGCTGTTATGTACTCTTCTAGAAGCTAGCAGAGTTCTGAGGATTTGAAGCTCTTTTTTTTGATAAAAGATGGGTTTCCCAAATTATTTCTTTAGTTTTTGGACAACCATGGAGGTCTACAGCACAGGCAAATAAGCCAAAGGTTTTGGATTCGTAGATATTAGGGTTAGTACACAATATTCATTGTTGGTTTTAATCTCTGTATGGGATTTGTCAAAAAGAATAATAGAAAAATTCAGAAAATCAGCAGTATTATCCTTTAACAGGCCTAACACATTTATGGGTATCAACTGACATTTGCCAAATGTCCTTTAGTGATTTTTGAGACAGTGGCTACATGATGTCAGACGGTGGTGAACAAAAGCAATTTGTCATTTCTAGCTACCTATTAGTTTTTGTTGGCAGAACTGACATTTGAAGCTCATTATTTAAAAAGCATCTTATCTTGGCCAATTTAGAGCTGCTTTCAGTTGAATGACAGATAAGCTCACAGGATTTTTTCCCCCTCATAATTGCATTCTGGGTGCAGCATAGTGAAAGTACTCATAAGGATATCACACCCCCATCCACTGTGTAGACCGGCTGAGCCCAGGCTGCTGCCAGACACTGAGCTAGTCCAGCCAGCAGATGGCTGTACTAATATAGCCATAGTGGGGTTTGTTACCTCTGTCAAGTAGGCTGTGTTTTTACCAAGTTTGTTGCTTTGTTCACAACATAACTCAAAAAAGCTATGAATGAATTTTTATGAAATTTTCTGGAGAGGTAGGGTAGTACCCATGGAACAGTCCATTACATTTTGGTGGTGTTCCGGATCGTCATCCCAATCCAAAATACTGTATGTTTTAATGGGATTATGGGGAAACTGAGCTGCCTTGGCTGATGTTTGAGCGCTTTCAGTGCTATGGAGTTTCTCACTGTTCTGCTGAAGTCAGTGTAATCCTGAGTAGACAAATGGGAAGTTAAACATCCAGTCAAAGAGCTGGGGTGTCCCTCACATGACACAGCCAGACTTCCTGGAAGCAGAATCAGGTTCCACTGTATCATACACACACACAGACACACTTGCACAAATACAGTCTACAGCGTCTACAGTATATTCAGATAATCTAGAGTAACACTGTGCATTAACTGACACTGTCAGTGCAAATCATGGCACACACACACAAACAAGGTGAGTCACTGCCAAATACACACTCACTCCTCCACAAACCAAGCGTGCACTTACCTAAAAGAAAAGACATGCAAACCCACATTTTTTAAATTTCATTACACATATTGATACAGGCACTGATAATACGCATTCATGCACAAACACACACACACACACACACACACACACACACACACACACACACACACACTCAACAACACAGCTGATCCTCCAAGTGTACCTACTTAGAAGGTACAGTACACACACACACACACACACACACACACACAACCCTATAATTCTTCCATCTCTCTTTTGCTCTGTCACAGTGGTTGGTAGGCAACCAAATGACAAAGCTCACACACACAGACACACACACACAAATGTCTAATGCTAATGATGCTGTTTTCCGCCCCCATAATGACACTTAAATATTTTTTTTAAATATAAGAGCTGACTTTTGTCAGCACAGGGTTATAGTGAAAGATGCATGGAGCAGTACAAGGAATGGTAAGTGATGTTTGGTCACCCTGAGGCTAGAGGCATGCTGTCTTGCTTGTCTAAAGCTGATAATTGTGTGAGATGTGGTGAATTAATTCTGAAACAGTGGTCATATTACACTATGAGACACAGCAACAGGCAAATCTGTTTTCATTGCAACGCTATAATCGCCCAGCCATTCATCACACAATGCAGCATGCCTCAAATGTATTGCACAGACAGTTACCATATGTTATAACGCACAGTGCAACCTTAATGAACACAACAAGAAGCTGTACAAGTCCAGCTGGTAAATATGACCTTAAAACTAAAATCAAACTGATGCAGACTCTGGTGGCTAAAACACATCTTACTGGTGATTATCAAGCTCACTTCAGTTTGGTGTTTAACCTGTAGACTTTATTCTATTTGCTGTATACACATTTGGCTCAGCTTTTACTGAGCTGTAAAACCCAAATTATGTTTTCCTTTGACTTTAAGATGACTGCAAAACAAACACATATAATGGTGCTAATTGTCCAACGCTGAGCTATAAGACACTTATTCTGATGGGAAACTTTACAGTTAGAAAACGTTTTTAAGCTGTTAGTAAATATCTAAAATGATTCATGGGCTGATGTAATTGAGTCACTATACCTTGAGTCCCCAGTGTTCTAGTCAGAGTCAAGTCCAAGTCACCAAAGAACAGACTGAGTCATTAAGGTCTATGTTAAACACAACAGACAGAGGTATCACCATTTTAAAGGGAATTTACTTACTGTCTGTGACACAATGGCAAAAAGCTCGCACTTGTAAGCTCACACACACACACACACACACACTACTTTGACGTGAACAGTGTGATTTTTGCATTTTATTTTATTTTTTTTTGATATTCTGAAATTTGGATGTGCTTCATACACACTGCCTATCAGAAGTAGGAACAAAAGGATTTTAACACTACATACATACATACATACATACATGTTTTGTTATGTTATGGTCTATTACAAAACAAAACAATAAGTCTGAGTCTTCAGAGTCCAAATACAGTCAGTGCTCAAATCTGAGTCCAAGCCCAAATCATCAGTGTTCAATTCCAACGCGAGTCACGAGTCCTGAAAATCAGGACTTGAGATGAACTTTAGTCCGAGTCCTGGACTGGGGCTCTACAACACTGATTAGTGGAACAAGGAATTCATATCTAGATGGAAACTGGAAAAGATTAAATCATAGAATAAATTGTTAGGTTGTGAAGTATGATCTGTTAAAGGGTCACTTCACTCAACATACAACAACCACTGTGAGATAGGGCCAATTTCAATTTCATTGTTCTTGAATAACTTTCAAACTAATAGATATCCAAATGCTGCTGGTAGGATTTCACGGTCAAGGAATCACACATGAGGGTCAAACTATCATGGTAATATTGTATACTTTAGGTGTAATAGCATTATAGGGACAGTGAGTTGCCTTGGCCGAGGCTTGGCTCTGAGTTACTGATTTTCTTCTTCACAGTCAAGTTCAGGATATCTGTCTAACTGCTGCCAATGTGCAAAACAGATAATAACAAAATCATACTCTATTGCAGTTCAAAACAAACATTCTACTGAGAGATTGATCCCATTCCACTTTATCTGTAATAAACTTCCACCTCTTTCAGGGTCTGTCTAGAAACAACTGCCAACAACTTGACAGAAGACAGAATATCAAGAACAGGACAGGATTGAAAATCCTTCAAATAGCTCTCACCCAGTTGATTTACACTGGAAAAAGCAGAACTGTACAATTCCAAGTCTTAATTATTGACACTTAATTTGAGAAATTATAATCATAAAGGTTTTAACCCTACAAATCAACAAGTCCCAGAGTTTAAGGCTATTTTTCGGCAGTTGTCTCCACTGGATAAATGTGTAACATTCAAACTTGAATTCATTGTAGAGGAAGATACTTTTCAGGTCACTCTATTTCATGCCAAACACACACACACACACACACACACACACACACTGAAGTCAAGCTGATATGATTACACACAAAACACATGCATTTAATTAAAGCCCCATACTTGCTCCTCTCTATTTTTGCTCCTTTCTACCTCTCTCTCTCTCTCTCTCTCTCTCTCTCTCTCTCTCTTCCACCCACATGCACAAACTTCACTTTCACATCTGTTTCTTTTTGAAAATATAAAAAACATCATTCTTCCAGAGAATTGCACACAGAGTGAAGCTGAAATCACACATGCATACACCCACACTAACACACGTAGTGATATTCTCTTGTGAGTAACAGCTTTACAATGCAATACACATCTTTCACCATCAGCTGATTGCATCAATAACCAGGGAACAAGTTTTAAAGAGAAATAAGGTGAAAATAGATACAGTGAAACCTCTGGGGCACCTGGAGGGGTTAAAGGTCAGTAACCCAATCTGCAGAAGTCACAGTGTTGAAATCTGCAGCTAAAAATTCGAGGGAAAAGGGTTTAGGATTACCTCAATAACTCAGTTTATCCAATCTGTTTTTAAGTATTGATTCTGATGCTTATCCAATTTGTCAGCTTTCTAAAGTAATAACAATATAGACTGTGAATTTTCCATTAAGGTTTTGTTATTTTATCTTATATTACATATGAGGAAACAACAAATTCATTTTATCTTATCTACACTAACCAATGGCAGTACTACCTTATATGGCACCAAAAGGAAAAAAGCACCATTTTGCTAAATGAAGTGGAAGCAAATGGACCTTCCTCCTTGTCCTCAGGCTCAGACATCATGTGTGAAGACACCTGTAGCTGAGGAACTGAGGCTTCATATTCTTGCTAGTGTCAGTGACTGCTCCAAAATATTTCAGTCTGACCCCCTAATACATTTTTGCACAAGTAAATAACATGTCATTATGCATGATTTATCAAACTTTCAGAATAGGAACCAACTGCACCACACAATCTCCTTGGTTAGTTCTATGCATAAGACAGCAAAAATGCTAAACACATTACAAAAGTACAAAACATCAGCATATAGAGACTTCTTTTAAACTGGAAATTCCCCTGACTGAGCTCAGGACCTTGTCAGTACAATAACAGAAAACCTTTATGTCCCTGAAAGTGTAGTGTGCTAGTTAGGCTGCAATTGTTTTGCGCAGGTTACACACATTATCATGATCTGTGAAATTATATCCAATGTTATGTAAGCTAGTTAGACAGAACACAGAATATTGTTTCCTTATGTTTAATATAGCAAGCATAATAGCAATATAGGTTAACAAATGTAAGTGTTAAACTGGCCCATTTTATTATATGTATAATATTATACTCATTCAAAGATGACATACTATAGCTGCATACCTTTATCTTTATCCTCTTCTTCTTTCCTAAACTTGGCACCTGAGAGCTTAGATCTTGTCTTGTCTGTTTTGATTTGGCAAGCATCAGTACATTACCATCCTAAAACACTGTCAACAAAGAGTCAGGCTTCCAGTGGGGTCCCGCCCCCTGCCTGTCTCGTACTTCTAAGTAAGAGACCTTCGCAGTCAGTAGCCTGCCTAGCTCACAGCTAGAACCAGGGCACCAACTCTGACAAAGTTAAATCCACACAGTGACATAATATCATTAATGTGTTGTGCAAATGAGCAACAGAAAACTGTGTGTGCAAAGTTCACCATCATTCAACTTATTTTTGTGTGGGTGTGCTGTGTGCCGCCCCCAGCAAGATGCTGCCCATACCTAAATCCACATCTGGTACTAACCTTTACTTAAAAGAGCAGTTTAACATTTTGGGAAACGTGTTTTTTTTATTTCTGAGGTGTTCAGGCTGATATCGGTCTCATTTCTGTATGTGAAGTAGCTGAAGTCGGAATGTGGTTAGCTTCGCTCAGCATAAAGACCGGATGTGGAGATAAACAAGTTATAAGCTGGAACTAGTCTCCACAACTTCAAAGGACTTGTTTAGGATCAAGACATAGTTTTATGGTTCAGGTTAGAATCAGGTTTAGGTTAAGGAAAGGGTTGGGTGTTAGATATTTAGTTGTGATGGCTGGGATTAGAGTAAGGGACTAGGGAATACATTATGTTAATGAGTGTCCTCACAGAAATAGCTCTACAAATGTGTGTTTGTGTGTGGTTAAAGATGAATCCTCCAGATGAGCACTATGATCTACTTGTCCTGCTTTGATCGTCCTCCTACCCCCTCAAATGTCTTCTGTCAGCAAGAACTATGAAATATACCCCAAATGCAAACAAAAGCCTGTTTCAACATACACACACAAATGCACACACACAGCAAAGCACCTCCTTACAGGCTTCAGCAGCGTCTATACTGATAATGTTAAGGAAAGGAAATCCTTACCTCATATGCATTCTTGATATTGAGCAGTTGGCCCGTTGCGGCCACGTGGCCCACAATGCCCTTATTCCATTCCAGCCGAATGCAGCTACTGGACGATTCCTCCAGTGTGGACCCCTCAGCCACATCAAACAGCCTGCTGACCAAGAACTTTCTGTTGGAGCTGTCCTCACCCACCTGGGACCACACACACATACAGTATACAGTACTGTAGCAGGATGTGGTTACCTGACTGATTTAAAATGGATGACCAAGGGAGAAACTGTATGTCATACTGTGTCCCTTAATGTTGGCGTACATTACAGAAACAAGAAAAATTCTCATTCTCTTAGCTAAGAGAACAAATTGGTGATCCAGGAAAAGCAAAACACCAATAAATCTAATTAAAGCACAACTAGAGGATTTTGTTTTTTCCTTGTAGAGAAATAAGACAAGCAACTAGACTCACTGTTGGAAGTTTTGTTTATGGCCATAAGTCTTTACAGCTTCTAACGTTAGCATGAGTCAACTGCACATGCATGAGATCCCCGTGAAAGCACAGTGAGCTAGCGGACTGCAAACAAAGCAGAGAGCTTGTGCAGAGATCTCGCACATGCACAGTTGACTCCTGCTTACTTCAGATGCTGTAAAAACTTTGCGGCTATTTGGAGCTTTTGACGAAGCATTTTTCACAAATATGTAGGTCTTGAGTTTCATAATGAAGAAATATGTCACCCAGTGCAGCGGATCGTCTGCAAAAACTGTCTGATAAAAGATTTCATCCACTCTAAATAACATCAGCAGTTTAAGCCAGAAGAGGTGTGACCATCTTGGTGCCTGTAAACAGTTTTTAACAGTTTCACCCAGATACAGTATATTTGAGAGGTTTATGCTTCACTTCCTCTTAACTCTGGTTGGTCACAGTGTTACAGAATTACAAACTGACCCAGAGCCCCATTTCCTGCATTCTTACCAGGAACAGTGAGTAGCGGTCTGCCGCAATCAGCTCGTTGATGTGGAGGAAGATCTTGTGGCAGAGTGCCGTCACATCCAGATGACTGGACACGTCCTTCACCAGCTCCAGAAGCCTAGAGCAGCGGTCAGCCCCACTGCTACTACCTGCCCCGTTGCATCCACCTCCATTACCACCACCCTCCCCCATCACTGTGCCCCGGAGAGGGACAGTTTCACGCTCAGAGTCACTCAGAAATGTCAGAGAGCCCTCAGAGTCTTTAACCACGATGGGTCTGAGCGGCCGGTCAAACTCTGATGCTGAGATTTTGCGAGTCGGTGTGCCAGGGGCTGGGCTGGGGACTGTCGCTGGGGAAGGGCAACGGTTGTCCAGGAGGCTGAGAGCAGGTGGGAGGATGGTGGAGGTTGAGATGGGGGTGGGGTCTGTGGAGGATTGGTGGGCCCGCTGCTGTGAAGGATTTTCTTTGGAGGCAGATGGCTGGATGGTGTGGACACGCTCAGCGAACCAGGCATTCACCATCTCCCTATTGAAATTAAGAAGAAAATCTCTCTTTGACATGTTGTGCCATAGGATGCTGTATCTGCACAGCTGTTGGAGGGTGTTACTCATATACTGTAGATTAAAGTGTTACACATGGTAATACCACCTGAGACATGTTGTTCATGACTAACTGTCCTTATTATTGATTTCTAGACACCTCTTACATAATGACATACACACCTTTCATTCCTGAGATACAGAAAAGAGCACATACAGGTGCGATCAGAGTTACATCAACAATTCACCTCTAAACATTAATTCCCATCTGTTTGTGTACCAAAACAAAAGCAGACATCCATCATAGCAGTTTGCCTAGCTAATTAATGCTGCAATTTGCACTATAAAGGCAAAACACAAAGGGAAAATTCCAAATATAGATAAGTAGACAAAGATGTAGGCAACAAGGACAGTGAACGACATAGATAGGTGAACATCCTCCATATCAGTGAGGTGAAGTTCAGTGAAGCTGTGGCTATACACTGAAACCTGATCAAGTGAATTAGAAAATAACTTTACCATTTCCAGACATATTTTTTCAGATCACACACACTTGATGTGATGGCCCCAATTTAAAATTAATCTTAATGAGAATGACAGGTAGCAACTGGTTCCAACAGTGAACACCACACAACACATGACTTGACCTCTGAATTCTCAACACCTACTGACCCTGAACAAACTCAGTCCAACTTTGTTCCCATCAGTAATTATATCTATAATTCATTACTACGCTAGCAGCATATTAGCTAAATATTGTAGTGTGTATACTGTGAAAGGAATACCAAGCTAAAATACCTTAAAAAAAAGAAAAAACTAAACCACTGTGCAGCAGTGATGTCCCCAACTGGGAGCAAGGGGCAATACATGCTTTGTGCGGCCGCATGTCCGCTAAGGCTGAGTGATGTAATTTTTGCAATTTTCCGAGGTCTGCATGGAGTCTGTGCTGATGTCCACATGCAAAAGTCTGTGTCAGTGAGGACGGTCCACACAGCAAAAGCCCCGACTGCACATGTGCCACAATGCTGGTAAACCATCAGCACATACAGACAGAAGGCAGACCCTCGATTTGAAGTATGAATAAGAATGCGTGCGCACACCTCGTCCATGTCCACATGTGCACAAGATTATGTGCAAAACATGAATTTCCCTTAAATAAGGAGCACAGCCAAAGTTAGCTAAAGCAGAGAGCACTATATTGATCTAAATTTTTTTTTTTTTTTACACAAAACAAACAATTTGATTCTCAATAATATACTGTTTTTTTATGTCAGAACTAGGGGTTTAACCTACCTTTTACATGCATTTCAAATGTGCCACCCCTCTCTGTGTCTGTACCCCAACCTGGCCACCCTATCTAAAAATTTCTAGATCTGCCCCTGGTCTCCTGGTGAGCTACCAGTGTGATTACTTATTGATTTTCTTCTGTGATAAAAATAAATAATTTCTATGAAGTGCTAAAATATAGCACAAGTAGAGAAAGGTCATAAAATCTTCGCCAAAAGAAGCTTGTCATGATTTGGAAAATGAGCCCTGTTTGCTCCCTATATTCTAAGTTCATTTGTCCATCCATCACTTGCATCATCTTCTTCAATTAAGCCTTTCTGGTCAAACAGACAGATTTCTCTGTTGCTGCACTTGTTCTGCATGTCGCATGCATCTTACTAAATAACAAGGAACAGTGTTCTGCAAGCTAATATGAAACTTTGGGCCTGTGAAACTGGGCAGTGCGTAACAGCAGCTCTTAACAGTGACAACAATAACCCAGCGGATGCAACTGATATTTTCATAAAAATGAATGTAAAAATGATCAGAATTTTTAAAGATAAAATATGAGTGAGCATAAAAAGAGTGAAGTCTATGTGATGAATGGTTTAATTTAGCCTTTGTGTGTTGTTGGCCCTTGATGTGTCTATTGAGTGTATTTAGTGGAACAAATCTATTGTGTCTGACAAGGTGTATGTCTGTATGTGAATGCTAAATTGGATGCTATTATGGAGAAACTCTCTAATTAGCCAACACATTGTCTAATCAACTCCTACAGCACAATCACTCACACTAATTTTCAAGCATGCACTTCTATGCTTCGGCTCTAGCTTTCAAACCCCATGTAGTGACTCATTCTACTATTGTCATGCCAGTCAAAGGCTCTGTTCACCTGGGCGGAAGGCCAAAACACGGAGAAAGCAGTAAAAGACAGTTGCCATGAAATTAACCATGGTATCTTGGGCCTTGAATGCGGCAAATAAAAGTTTGAAAGCCACCAAGCTGTTATCTAACAGCAGTGTATCAGAGTCAGTCAGGTTGAGTCCTCCTTTACTCCATCTCCTATTGAGCTGCCTGCCTCCCTACAGAGCCGACCCTAATGTAGGTTATCCAGGGGAGGTGTGGCTGAATCAATACCTCTCTAAGAAATACTTCTCAACCTAAAGAGCGGAATGGCAGATGTGTGCAAACCTCTTGTGCCGAGCCAGCCAACTTTCTTGCTTTCATAAACCTATACTGCTGTTTTACTGAAGTTGCCATAGTGATTTAAGTGGATAAATGGGTTTGAAGGGGTTTGTCACAAAAACAAATACAGACCTTAAGTGTCCAGATGAAGTGATCCAGGCAGATACAATTCCCAAATACGTCTGCTGCAAAAAATGCCTTATATAGCAGCTGCTGTCTGAGAAAGACTGATTTGGAGTCTGTTTGCTTAACAAGTGAAATGGCTAATTTGCTCAACACTTTGCACCTGGCAACAGAAAAAAATAACTTCATTTACAGTCACCCATGGTAAAATGCTTGTTTAATTATCACCGAGGACCTATTCAACAGTACAGTCTGAGAATTAAAGAGCTGTAAAAGTTAATAATTAAAGGACCCTGTGCAAGGCTCAGAGCTGTTGACTGACTGAAGTGAACTGGGATATGAACTAGAGCTGAGCTGTGAGGAGCAGGCAGTGAGCAGACAGCAGTGATGTGTGCCATCCACATCACTCCAGGTAGACTACCTGAGCAAGGACACAACACACCTGAGAGACCAACAGCCACCTCCACTCCAGGTTTACTGTCAGATATGGTCAGTACATGGTTACACACACGTCCTGTCTTTAAAGAGGTAATACTATATAAGAGATATAATAAAAATAATAACAGTTTAAACTAACAGAATAAATTAAACTGTCCCCAACTGTATGTTGGACTGTACATAAAATTATTTGCTGATAATTCCTCCGGAAACTACATTCACCGGGCTGTGCATAAACAAAGTGAACCAGGTTTAATGTTCACACTGAGCTGCAGCCTCCTTCGCTCCGTCCAGTTTTTTACCTTGACGCCTTCTTCACAAAGTAGGAGCGGGTGAACTCCAAGTGGTCGTCCAGCCACGCTTCCATCCTCTCGCTTTCAGGGCAGCAGCAGTCCTCCATGGTGCAAAGGCGACAACAGTATCCCACTGTGACCTCCGGTTAGAGTCTACATCTACACGCGGATGAGCCGGCACCGAATAGTGTAAACGGAGAACGAGAGAGCGGCTCAGAGAGGAAATGAGCGAGAGAGGAGCTCGCGGGGCCGTTCGGTCGGTGCGCGCGGATCATAAAGCGGTGACTGCGCGCTTCCTAGTTGGTGAGGCGACTGTTGGAGGACTGGAGGGAGAGAGAGAGAGGGGGAGGGAGGGAGGGAGAGCTTTGCCCCCTTTCCCACAGTCTAATGATAAAGGGCACTGCAAATAAAATATACAAATATTCAAAAATAAAAAACATATACTTGTACTTCTATCTTTGTGAGGACACTCACTGACATAATGCATTCCCTAGCTCCTAACCTTAACCATTCTGACTAAATGTTTAACCTAAACCTAAACCTAACTCTAACCTGAACCCTAAAACCAAGTCTTAACCTTCAAAAATCTATTTCATAAAGTGAAGACCAGCCAAAATGTTTGTTTTTACAAGCCTGAAACTAAGACTTGCCACTTAGCTGGAGTTACTTGCAACCTCAAAACCCATGGGATCTGACTGGATTAAGTTTTGGGTTGGGTTCAGGTTAGGTAGCAGAACTAACCTTAGGTTAACCTTGGAATAACTACTGTGTATATTTTTGTTAAATATCAGTTAAAACAATAAATACCATAGTAATCCTACAAATTAATTAATTTGGATAAAGTGTCTTTGTCTCTACCAGTGTAATTTAGAAGCAAATGTAAGTTTTGAAATCCATAAAATGAAATTACATGAGTATATGATTAGATTGGAAGCAGGAAGAAAAGACATTTTTATTAGATCAGATGTTTTTGTATTGATGGTTCACATTCACATTTATAAGTGACACGTATCCAGGTCGGATTTGAACACTTTTAATGTCCTTGGATGCCACACATGAGCATTTAACTGAATCTGAGTTACATGCATATACAAGAATGATAAAAAATATATATATAAACACATTTTGATCACACTGGTCACACTGTCAAATATCTGATATGAGTCAGATCTAGACCACATGTGGTAGTGAAGCATAAGTGATTTGAAAATATCAGATTTGGTTTGTTCACACATAAGATTTGAAAAAGATCAGATCTGTGTCACCTGGAGGGAAAACCGATCTAATCTGAGTCACTTTAGCATGTAATGAGATTGTATCTTAAGTAGTAGACACAAACAAGGCAGATTAATTAGGAGAAATGAGTCCTATCTATTTGAAGAAACAATGAATACTTTCTGACATCAAATCAGATTCTAAATATTTACACAAATTAATATCTCCATCAGTTTTCAACTGATTACAAGTTGTAATTTAGAAGAGGAGCAGATAGAGGAAATTAAGGGAATTCCTTTGTCTGGGCAAACAGTTCACAAATCCACCAAATCATTCATTTATTCATCTCTTTTGACCTCACTTAGCCTGTATATTGTAATTAAGCTGATAATTCCAAATAAACAATTCACAATAAACCCTATCAGTAATGAAGTTTTCAATTATCCTGTGAATGAGCTAGCTGGAGCAGATCCAGGTATTATTGATGAAGTCTAATGGCTTTCAGCCTCCGTCTCTGCACTCACTGCACTGGTCTCCAGTGTCCTCCCAGCTGGACACTTGGCCCCGCTGGTGGTGTTACCTTACCAGCAGATGGTGGCTGGTTGTCCCGGAGGGGGGAGACCACCAGCAGCATCCCTACCCCCTTCTGAGCCTCTTGTCAGTCTAATCGTGAGATGAAGAAGGAGGGGACATCTAAACAGATGCAGCATCTTTGCTCATTTTCTGTGTTTCTTCTTTACACACATTACTGTACACACCTTTGCAATAACAAATATTCCTTTATTCAAAACTGTTCCACTTTACAATAATTATTTTTGAAGGTGCATTAATGAAGATTTTACACACTAGCTGACAAATAAGATAAAAATGGGACATGATGTGGTGTCTCTCTGCTATGCTACCCCACTCCATGACACTCTGCCACTTAATGTTTCTGTTGTAATTCCTGCTTTTCTAAACTGTGTTTTCAAAATCAGGTCTACATATTAGCCACACCTGCCACCCAGTGAAGGTTATAAGAAGCATTTTTTGAATCGTGAGTAGTTATTTGACCTATGACCTCTGACCACCAAGTGGACACTTGTGCTAGATTTGAAGAAATTCCCTCAAGGTATTCCTGACATACAGTATCACGTTCACAAGAATGGGCCAGAAGAACAGACAACCTGAAACCATAATGCCTCCAGCTGCAAAAAAAAACATAAAACAAGAAAAATGCCATCGACTTCAGTTCAATGCTTCAGATGCATCACTTTCCAAAAATCAACAGATGATCAGTGTAGACTGTCACTTCAGGTGTCTGTACTCGCCACTGCACCCCTGTAACGCACACACATTGGCACACAAAGTTGAATATTCAGAGCTTTCAAACAAGTTTTACATTTTATTTTCCTGACAACGCAATTCCCGCAAAACTTCAAGTGCAGTCATTTGTTTGGAAAGCACAGGAACAGGTACCCACATGCATTTTATTTGCCACACTAGCTTAACATTAACCCTTAAACCCACAACTAGGGAATTTATTGTTAACCTATCTGAAATTCTCAAAAAAACGGTGTAAAGTCAACCAGATCACACACTTCAGAGCAGGAAATTGTAACAAAAATAGTGTAATAAATTATAGACTATGAAAGCTAAATGATACATTCATTCACGCACTGCACACTGTACTGTATATGAGTCTAAACATGTCTAAATCCACAAAGTGCTGTATAAAATATATCAAATGTACATAATATTCACACATGTATATGTACAGAAGGTGCCCAAGTGTTATTTAAAACACAATATAGTGTATCAAATGAATGCACACACTCAAATGGCACACATTCATGTACAGTATTATGTAATATAATAATGTCCCTACTTTCTCAAAAGCAAACAGGCATGTATATGAATCAAGAATAGTCACACACACACACACACACAGAGTGGGCAGAAATAAAGGATGGCCATATTTCTGCTCCTTCTTTGCTGTGTGTCAGTGGACTTTGCACTTAGTCTTTTTCATTTGGAGCTGTTCGGTAAACAAGTCTGAAACATGAAGGAAGGAAATAAAAGCCTGACTAGACCATCAGCCACATCTGAACAAGACTTCACTCACAGCCTGCCATTAGAGCTTGGATACTGATGTCACAGAAGAAAAAGATGTATAAACCAGTGGTTGAAGGATCCCTTACTGCATTCTGGGCTGATAAACATCTACCACTCTTGCTGATGAAACCTTTACAAAAGCAGCAGTTTGTCTACACACTTCTTTCCCGCACTGTCTGAAATCACATTGCAGCCAAAGAGCTAAAACTTATGATGCAACACAATATACTGTAGCATGAGTCAGCCCTGCCAGGAGTGTTATGCCTTAAAAATATTCAGTTGAGGAGATAATAACATTCATGTCAGTATCACCTTGGATCCTGAAGACAGGGCTGATTGTTTGCAGAGCTATGTTTAATGCCTTCCCTCCATCCAGCAAATGTTTGAGAAAATACAGACGTGTGTCTGCACAATGTCAGTGCAGAGTGGAGACAACAGGAATAAATTTTACAAGAGGAGAGCAAGAGCGACAGAGCTGTTCCCTCAAGCTCAAATAGAAGTGTTTTCAGAGAAACTGCTGGAATGCCTACAATAACATACAAGCAAAGTGACAGCAGTTCAAAAAAACAGACATCATCTGTTCTTAAGCCTTATTTCTGTGTTGAAACTACCACAGAACAGCTTGCAGTAAACAGACTGAGTACTGAAGACAGATACAGTAGGTAGGGGTGAGTGCTGATACTCCTAATCCCTAACATCAATGCAATTTCCTGAGCAAAAAGACAGAGAAAATAAATCTGTCTGTACAAAAATAAAATGATTCTCCAAGTGTAGGTAGGAGTGAAGATAGAGGGGGCTTGAAATGACAAAGAAATAGCACAACCCTCATTTCTAAAGCAGCTCCAATTTGGTAAATGGTTCTAACTGAGATGTCTCATATGCTTTATACGTATGTACAAATACATTTAGAGGTGACTTAACAGAGGCGCACGTGTTCATCTGTGTTTATTCTATGATTAGACTATTATTCACAAAAGACTGCGCTCAAGGTACAAGTCAGGTGTGCTCAGCAAAAGTTCAATCAACAAAAAGCCTGTTAGGTAATTTCTTAGTCAGATAGATATTGATTAGATACTTGTTGTATTAGGAATGTTTAGTGGAGCCAGGCTATCTAGCTCAGGCTGTTAAATGCTTAGTCATTCTTATGAGTTCTGCAGGCTGCATGTGGGCCAAGGACAACTAGATAGAAAAAGTCAGCAGACAGGATGAATATTGTTATTAGTATGATATGTTTAGCCGTAATCTTAATCATAATATCTTCCGAGGCTTAATGTCCGGACATGTCCCTGAATGTCCTGTATGTTTTTAGATACACACCACTTAATCAACACTCACACACATTGATTCTCTCCATGTTTTGACTACTGCTACGGCCCGCTGTGAAGCTGGCATATCAGGTGACGTCACAGTTTGACGTTCCTGGGTAGTATGGGCTAGCCCAACCGAAGTGATAAAATGTATAGGCAGTATGGTTCAGGGTCTTGTATTCTTCATCTGCCTGTGCGCAGGATTGGAGGTGGAGGATACCTGGACGTGTAATGTTAATTTTACCTGTGATCCTTTGAATAAACCAGCACGGTTATTTTTTATAGTGGTCCGCTTCATCTCTGTGAGTTCCTGGTTAAAAGAACTGGGAAATATCTTTCAAGCCTTTGCGCTCTAAAAATGTTGTTCTTAGAAGTTGGAGATCTTTATAAAAGCCGGTGCAATGCAAATTTGAATAATGAAGGTGTAGTGTATTTTATAGGTTGTTTGTTGCCTTAGTGTTACCAGGGTAATGAGTACTTTCACGTCCTCTTATTATGGGCTGTTCAGAGTCAGTCAGCACTAAAAGCGTTTGTTTAGCTCAGTTTAACCTGCAGGAGTTTCTGAAGGCTGGTGTAACATGTTTTCCTGTCACAAAGAAAATAAATTCATGACATGTGAAAACTTTGAATTACGGCTTTCATGGGCTGATGTCATTTCA